GAAGAAAGTCATCTAAAGGCGTACTCATACTTTCCATATCCGCGAGTGTCCACCTTGGTCCTTGTGATGCAAACTTTAGTGCTGCGAAAACATCAGAAAGCAGATGCACTTCCTCAATCTCATATTCTGTGTTCTGTCTGCAGAGCGACCAGCCGCCCCAGAGGCCCCCTTACTCATCAAGTCTACCGTCAGCATGCTTCATGTGGCGTGGCGCCCCCTGGTGGCAGCAGACTTCTACATCCTTCAGATCCAGCCTACACCCCCACCTGCCAAAGCCGTCCATCTCACTGGAGCAGAGGCACTGGGCAGGAAGGCTGAGGTACTCTCTACAGGAACAGAGGGTACAGAGCAGTTTCACCACCTGAAAACAAATCTGCAGCATGTTTATCAGGATGCACACCTTTCTAAGAACATCTTTGAATCACCTTTCAGATTTACAGTCTGTTCAACCTCCAACTGGAGGAACCGCTAATAAAGAAGATGAAACATCACCACAGGTAGACACTTTTAAATCCACCTTTTAGTGTTGCCTTGGCTTGCTTGAAACCTCAACTGAGGTGGAACCCAAAAAGTTCATATCCACAACTAAAAACTTTTAAAAAACTAGACCAACTACAGACATGTCGGTACTGTTCTCTTAGATTTCTTTACATTTAGAGTCTTTAGAGATGCTAGCTTGTGTTGTAAAGGTCTTTGAGTAGTCACTAAGATTAAAAGCGCTTTATGAGTGCAGTCCATTTCCTGCCTTGTGAATGAACCCAGCTGCAGATCATCAAGTAAACAACAGCCTGAGTTCTGCATTAAATTGAGCACTGTTACTCAGGTATTTGAATGCAGTTCTTCCAATTTTGAAAGAAAATATGTTCTGCTTTACTTTTCTCTCTGAATTACAGCTTGGTTCAGCACAAAAGGACACTAGGGCAGAATCCTCGGAGAGCAAAGCAGAGAGCAGTGCTAGCAGGGACACGGAGAAGGACTGTGACACAAAGCGCTGCAGTAAGTCCTGTTGTCCAGTGATGCTAGGCATTTCTGTACTTCCACTCATTGTTTTCCTTTTCGGAATAATTAAATAGGCAATAGGTATGCCTAAAGTAATAAAGCTGCATCCACATGGGTCATGATGCAAGGGGGTATGATTCAATCTGCTGTGAAATTTTGCAATGCTGCAAGCAAGGAGATATATTGTGATTTATTGTACCTCATTTTAGGAACCTGTCACATATTATGGCCTCAGTAGAAAGGGTTTTGAGGTTGTGACGTTAGTTAGGGACGAGTATGCGGCAGACAAACACACTTTGATAACTTGTTCTGGTGTGACTGGGGAAACAAATACAATGCTACACACAGTGAGGAAAACCTGGTAGATGTCAGGGGCCCTGCTGCAACACACGACATGTCAAAAGTAATGTTCTCCTTCCCACACAGCGTTAGGGAAAGGACAAACAACAGGTCTGTCTCACTCCAGCGTTAGTGAAGCTGCCGTTGTTTGGCTTTTGATCCGCTGACCTGTTGTGCTCTCTCTCTCTGTGGTGTAGCGGACATATCAGCAGAGGTCAGCAGCTCAGCTCAGCAGCAGCCAGGTACTGATGCTGCTCAGGCTCAGGAGTCAAATCACACTGCAGCATGTCGTGAAGTAAAACTCACTGAGGGCGTCCTTTTCTTTCACAGAGAAACAGCCAGTGGACAAGACATCAGATCTCTCCCATACACATCAGGTCAGACCTACCTGTGTACAGTAATCATTAGCTCTTACTGGGCTCAGTGTAAACTCAGACTGAAACCTCTCTCCTCCAGGTCCATCAGACCCCAGAGGAGGTGTGGTTTGATGTTGGTGTGTTCAAAACGCTGTTCTGTGAGGCCAGCCATTACTATTTACCTGCAGACATTGACCAGACGACTGCAGCCAGCAGCAGCCGGCCACCAAACACTAATGAGGTAAATACAATAATAAAAACTGACTGAAAAACAGTTTTTTCTATTATTTAATATATATTTTAGACAGGGCTATCCAGTCAATATTTATTTCCTTTTTTTATGTGTGAAAATCTGTTGAAATTTGAAATTTCAATATAGACCAGGCGATTTATTTAGGGCTGCAACATTTTAGCCAAAATGGTTATCACAATGATTAACATTGAAGTGACAATTATTTATCACAATCATTTATAGACTTTTCTTTGGACACGTTTTTTTTATTACAAATGAAATAAAGAAATGTTAATAGCCCTTGCACGGCTTTCACTTCCATGTTGTGCCACATTCCTTCTAGTGGACAGATCGTTCACATCATTAAGCTAACATTCTTCTCGTAGCACATTTTAGTTTGACCAGTCTGCCTTGTTTCCTAAATGATTACATATTGTATAATATTCTCCTACTCAGATTGCAGCTGCAACATTCAGGAACGTTTTTCAATTCTCTTTAAGCTCAATAAACACAGATACTATTTGACAGGATTTGTTTCCACAACATCAAAATCTTCTAGGGCACGTGGACCACTTTTAGTTTCTCAGGGACACCCAGGGTCTCACCACACAGCTTCTGTATATCCTCTGCTTTCCCATCAGCCCTCCCTCCAGAGGAAGTGTCCCGGGCCTCAGGACTACCTGAGCAGAGAGAAGCAGGAGCTGGCTCCAGGGCAGACCTACAGGTTCAGAGTTGCAGGCATCAACTTCTTCGGCCAGGGAGACCTCAGCCCGGTCAGTGAGTTCAAGACCTGCCTGCCAGGTTTCCCCGGAGCGCCATCTGCTGTCAGGATCACTAAGGTGACACATATGGGACTCGCACTGACAACCTACATAAACTACGAAAGAGCTGCCCCTTAAAACACTTTCTTTGCACAGGCCAACGATTCGGTCCACATCACGTGGGACGCCCCCCCCCTCCCCATCAGGCCGGATCCTGGAGTACTCCATGTACATGGCGGTGAGGAAGAGCCGCTCCACCAGCTCGGAGCGTCCGGGTCAGATGGCCTTCATCAGGATATACCGCGGCATCAAGACATCCTGCTCGGTCAGCTCCACCCAACTGGAGAACGCCCAGATCGACTGCTCCGCCTCCAACCGGCCGGCAGTGGTCTTCCGCATAGCTGCTAAGAACGAGCAGGGCTACGGCCCCGCCACGCAGATCCGCTGGATCCAAGGTGCAGGAGCTGGACTTTATTTTCTGCTCATTTTCTTACCAGAATGATATGTTTTTCCAATTGTATTCAACCTGTCTCTGTGTTTTTAGATCCTATTAAATTGCGAGGGTCTGCCTCCAAAGCTGACAGCAATGCTGAGGCTGACCTAGATGCTGCTGACAGGTAACCAGTCAGCTCAAGATTCTTCATTTTGTCTTTCTACATTTTTTATTTTGAATAATTTATTTCTTGCTTTTTCAATTTTGTCTTGCAGCTCCAGCTGAGTGTGTGGACCAATGACACCCGTTTTGGGAAAGACAATATGTGCACTCAGGAAAATGGCGATTGTTCGTCACTGCGTTGTCTTACATTACCTACAGTTTTGTTAATTTATTTTCTTACATATTTAAATATTCCCCTGTAAATATATTTTCATAGGAAGTTTGACCACTTGGGTATTTTTGTTAATTGATTATTTTGATAAGTAATAAGAAATATGATGTTGACCCAAACAAGAACAAGATGTACAACTCTGAAAGCATCAGCCTGTGTAATCGGAAAGAAAATCTTGTTGTAATATTGCTGTTGTTTTTTAATCAGATAATGTTCTATGATTCAGGTTGAGTTTTAGACCTTTTAAGGTCTTTTAATGTGTTATCATTACCCCAGATTGTTAAAAAATATATTTAGCAAGTCTGTCGTGAATATAAAATGTTTTTATGATGACTTCAACTAAAGAGCAGAGCACAACTTATGTAGCTGGTTTGAATTAAAGGTATACAAAATGTCCCATATTTCACGAAAGAGCGTTGTATGTTAACTTTTGTTGTCCTTGGCTTGACCAACTCATTGTTTAGTGGGCACAAAGTATTATTGTTGTCCTCCTCCCTGTGCTCCTCCATCATGTCTGCACTCCAGATTATTACGGGCCTCTCTAACAGAGAAACTGTTATCCGGACCTCAAATGATTGAGAGCAGTGCTTTATCTCTTCATGTGGTTGCTAAAAAAGGATTTATTTATTGTACTTCCTTTCATAAAGGAGCATTTATCTTATTTGTTTTATTTACACAAACATTTTCTGATGAAAATAACTACATTTAAAGTTGAGACAAATGGACATTTGATCAGAACATGCACATAAATCATTTTCTCCCGTTAACATTCATTGGTTAGACTGCAGACTTATTACCGACCTTGAAGATGAATTGTGTTGAAGGTAAACTTGTATTAATCTTGTCCCTAAAATGAAATGCACTTGTGTTGTAGCCACAGAAAATCCTTTTAAAAGTAGTTTCTGTAATGCAGCCGATTGTGTTTTAAGCGAGGCCAAATATATTGTAAAGTTGGACCAGTGGAAAAATATGACTTGCATTAAGCCCTTTTAAGTAGTAACCAACAGGTTTACATGCTGTTTTAAGTAGTATTAATGTATGTTCAACAGCTGCTTCTTACTGAGGGGGGTGCAGGATGGTCAGTACCATTTGTGTACAATAAATACAAGTTAAGATTACCAGGATTAACACTTTGCAATTAGAAACGATGCTTACTGAAACATAGTTCAAATAATCATTTGAATGCTGAATACATTCAGTCAATATGTAGAGACTTGGAGGTTAAGCAATGTATCAGTTACGTTATAATTATAATAGGTAACATTACTCACACACTTGTTATAGCAAAGTACATTTTGCCAGTACGAAAGTATTAATTGTAAAAGCTGTTTTCAACAACAGAAATGCACCTCGGGAAAAATGTCCCATGATCCCACAGTTTGTAGTTTTCAGATTAGCTAGCTATCACCATGGATGTATAACAATTGCTAGGAAAAAAACAAAAAATAGTAAAGAAAGTTCCAAGTTCTAACAGAGGTAAGGGGCTTTCAGCTGCTGGAGTCTGTAACACGGTATGAGCTGCACACAGCGTTAGCCATGGCAGGCTAATGTTACTAGCTCCAGCCTACAGTCTGCTTCTTGTTTAGGTCAGCCTACAGGTAGCCAGGCTGTGTGGATAGATTTAGATAGATAGTCTTCTGCGCTTTTAATAAGACTTGGTGTCTGAATTTTGTTTATAGCTGATCGTCAAAAGTACACTGCTCTGACTTTGCATGACAAACGCCAGGAGGAAAGAATGTCCGATAACGAACGCACGTAAGTAGCCAATGGCTAGTTAGCATAAAGTCGCGGGACATTTAAAAACAACTCAATCCTGTAGACGGATTTGGGACGCCAGTTATAACTGGAATAAGATAAACGCGTAATCTAAATAAGCACATCACAATTGATGATCCACTGGCTGTTGTGAGTGTCTCTGTTCAGCTCAGGCTAACGGTAGCTTGGTTGTAACTATTTTAAGGGAGCCAGATAACAACAAACAGTCAGTGCACATTAAGTTAAATACCATATCTCTGGTTTCTGACAGTAAGGTTACCTAGCTTTATTTGTTTATGGTTTTAAAGTCTGTATATGAAACTACAGTGTATGCTGTGATAATAGCATTCTGAAGGCAGCTTCGTTGTGCTCAGAGACAGAGCTTTATGAGTCAATGAGACTGACAGGGTGCTTAAGAGTTTCAATAGTCAATCACTGACTGCTCCTCCACAGCAGCAGGGAGCCGACCAATCACTGGAGAAGACTCAGAGCGCCTCTGCTGAGAGGTTGTGATTTGAACAAGTAGCCAGGGGACTCTTCTTAATGCCACCATGGAAACTAACTGACAACAAAGCCAGCCCAATTCTGCCCTCTCTAAGCACCTCACCACACTAGCAGGGAGTGTTTGTGACTGAAAAGAACAAAGCTTGCTGACAACCCTATTTCATTTCTAAATAAAGACACAGCAGTTATATTGCTTGGTTCAGAAAGCCTTCTTCATCTCCTCCTGTCTCTGGCTCTTTGCTGCAGAGGCGAGATGACATCCTCCGCCCTCTGCCAGTCGCCACCCTTCATTCCGAACCTGGAGCCTGGGATGGGGAAGTCTGCAGCCATGCTGGGCTTGTCTGCTGGGCTGGGGGGTGCAGAGATGGAGCTGCAGAAGATGCTTATTGATGAGAGGATGAAGTGCGAAAACCACAGGACCAACTACAAAACACTGAAGGCTGAACACACCAGGTAAAACTGATCTAATATAAACGTGTTAAGTATTTTTGGCAGTACTTTGTTTTGTATTGAGTACGAATTATGAGGGAAGACACTGAATAAAAACAAAAGAAAATATAATATTACTTTATGAACACTGTGTGTTTGCAGTAGTAGAGAAAACATCTCATAGAAACCATCCCTCCATAACCATACAACAACACTGACCCTGGCTATGATTGTATGAGTCGATGTGCTTCAGTTGCTGTGCACTGCGCTCACTCCCATCCTGCTTGCAGCCTGCAGGAGGAGCTGACCCGGGCGCAGGGAGAGCTGAGGCGCCTGCTGAGTGACAGACAGGCTCAGCAGGAGAAACTGCAGCTGCTGCTGGCCGAGCTCCGGGGAGACCTGCTGGACAGAACCAGGGAGCTGGAGGAGCTTCGGCTGCAGGTACACGAAGCCTGTGATGAGTCTCACACAATGAAACTGGGTAGAATCATGGATTGTTCTGCTGTTTGATTGATCAAAGGACAGGTTGGGGTTTCACTGATGTTATGGTTGAAATACATACTTTGTGCTGGGGACAGCCATTAGAACTGTTCAGAATGTGGTGGTCAAAAGTCAAGTTTACTGTAACCACACCTAACACGTCATTGGCAAGAACTCTAGAATTCATATTTTTACAATTGGACAATTTCGTGCAAATTTCAAACAAATGTCTAATAGAATATAATGATGAAGTGATGACACGATGGATTAAAGATCAATTTGACTGTTTGGCGGAGCGAACCACAAGGATGTAATTATTGTTGTTTTTAATTATTAAAATTGCGTCTCCGTAAGATAACTTTAATCGACTTTCTGGCTACAAATGTGTATGCGTGTGTGTGTTTTTGAGCAGGTGATGACCCCCCAGCGGCTGGAGTTGCTCAGAGCTCAGGTGCAGCAGGAGATGGAGGCTCCAGTCAGAGAGAGGTTCAATAAACTCGAGGAGGTCGGTCATGTTTCTGTGTCTGTATGGCACATAAGTATTATAGGGATGTCAGGCTACAAGAACTTTACTAGACAATACCATTACTGGCGGCTAACAGCTAACATTAACTAGCTTTCCTTCTGCTGATTACATCACACTTCCCATTATCAGGAAAACATGTATATCATCCATTTTTCATTTTCCAAACACGTTTTCTTTTACCATGGGACATCGTTTGTGTCGAGCCCTGATGTCAATCTGTCCTTTGCATTATCATAGACCTATGAGGGAGAACATGGGTCAGTGAAAGAGTCCCCCACCCTTACTACTATGTAGTCATTATATATTGTATGCAGTTAAAATCACTTTTTTTACATTATGATTAACCCTATTATTTAATACAGCACCGAATACATCTCTTAACAGTGAAACGGTGCTAAGAACAAAGTTCTCTCCTGTTATCGATTATGTCACTTTGGAAATTGCTGTTAAAAATGATTAATAGCTGCAAATGGCTTCTATTGAAGAAGGAAATGTTGGAATTATCTTTAAATTCCTGCTTTAAATAGCGTCAGCAGCTATGACTATGAAGTCAATAGCAACGGTCAAGATGTCAGCATCGAGTGGCTTTTGACAATCTTTGAGAGTCTGTGCTGATTTCCATGTTGTCTGCCTGATTGCTCTCATCCCCTTCTCACTGATTAGAAGTGTTATTACTCCGTGTACACATTTTCTTTCCAGGAATCCGAGAAGTACAGGTCTGAGTACAACAAGCTGCGGTATGACTTCACTTTTCTCAAGTCCCAGTTTGACCATCAGAGGGAAGAACATGCTCGTACTCTGGAGGAGAGGAGGATCCGCTCTGAAGCAGAGGTCTGTGTTGTCTGATAGTCAGCACTGTGTTTTTATTAAATTGTCCTACACTGGCGTGAAATGATAAAAGAAGATAATACTGTGGATGATCCCTTTCTGTTGGCAGGTGTCTCGTCTGGAGAAGGAGCGGGAGGAGCTGCTTGCTCAGTACCAGGGTTCAGACCCGCTGCGTGATGGCAGACGGGTGGAGGCTCTGCTGAGGGAGAAGGCTCAGCTCCACCTGCGGCTGAAGGGCCTGGAGGCAGAGGGGGCGGAGCTCCGGGCCCAGAGAGAGAACTCAGGCCAGCAGGCGGAGAACGTCCAGCGCATCCAGATCAGACAGCTGACAGAGAGTCAGGCGGCGGTGAAGTCCATGGAGGTGAGACGGCTGCTCTCCTTTGTTTGTTACAGCGCTTCCAAATAGTTTGTTGCTTCAAAGCTTCATTCAGGTGGCATTGGGATCGCTTCAAAGCTTCATTCAGGTGGCGTTTGGATCACTTCAAAGCTTCATTCAGGTGGCGTTTGGATCACTTCAAAGCTTCATTCAGGTGGCGTTTGGATCACTTCAAAGCTTCATTCAGGTGGCATTGGGATCACTTCAAAGCTTCATTCAGGTGGCATTGGGATCGCTTCAAAGCTTCATTCAGGTGGCGTTTGGATCACTTCAAAGCTTCATTCAGGTGGCGTTTGGATCACTTCAAAGCTTCATTCAGGTGGCGTTTGGATCACTTCAAAGCTTCATTCAGGTGGCGTTTGGATCACTTCAAAGCTTCATTCAGGTGGCGTTTGGATCACTTCAAAGCTTCATTCAGGTGGCATTGGGATCACTTCAAAGCTTCATTCAGGTGGCATTGGGATCACTTCAAAGCTTCATTCAGGTGGCGTTTGGATCACTTCAAAGCTTCATTCAGGTGGCATTGGGATCGCTTCAAAGCTTCATTCAGGTGGCGTTTGGATCACTTCAAAGCTTCATTCAGGTGGCGTTTGGATCACTTCAAAGCTTCATTCAGGTGGCGTTTGGATCACTTCAAAGCTTCATTCAGGTGGCATTGGGATCGCTTCAAAGCTTCATTCAGGTGGCGTTTGGATCACTTCAAAGCTTCATTCAGGTGGCGTTTGGATCACTTCAAAGCTTCATTCAGGTGGCATTGGGATCACTTCAAAGCTTCATTCAGGTGGCATTGGGATCGCTTCAAAGCTTCATTCAGGTGGCATTGGGATCGCTTCAAAGCTTCATTCAGGTGGCATTGGGATCGCTTCAAAGCTTCATTCAGGTGGCGTTTGGATCACTTCAAAGCTTCATTCAGGTGGCATTGGGATCGCTTCAAAGTAGGGCTGGGCGATTTTTTCGGTTTTAATGATTAATTTGCATTTTTACTTTCCTACGGTTTGTGAAATGGCTGAACCGAAAAATCGCGATTTAAAAACATTTCTAGACTCCGCAGATTTGTTTTGCTTTAAGGGACTCCGTAGTAGCCTACTCCAGGGTTTCCCACACATAGACTATACCTGGGCGGGCCGCCCAGGTATATTAACGGCCGCCCAAGTATATTTCGCGACCCATTTAGTTTTTTTTTTCTACGTTTTTTTTAAATATTTTTTTTTTTTATTCGTCCACGCCATCTGCGATCGATTAACTTGTAGACAATGATCCCTCGCTCCCTTGCTCTGATCTCGCCTCCTCTGGCCTGTTAAGTGGCCTGCCTCACACAGGATGACTGGCTGTCCACATGATGTGGCCTGCCAACATGGCCACTGTCATACAGATCATAAATCAAAGCCCTTGATTGGTCTCTGTGTGTCATTCAAGCTCGGGATAACCTCAGCTCAGGTGAGGTAAAGGACTCTCTGAGTGTTTAGATAGTTAACTTAGTCTAAGTTCTCAGTGGGTCTCAAACGGTGTGGTCACCATTTATGTAAACACATATTTCCATTTGAGAGGGTAGTGATTGGTCTAATGGATAGTGAGGTGGGCTGAAGATCGGAAGGCTGTGAGTTCAAATCCCGCCAGGAACACCACCACTAGTGTGCCCTTGAGTAAGGCACTTAGCCCTTAGTTACTCCAGGGAGAATGTCCCTGTAATCGGTCATTATAAGTCGCTTTGGATAAAAGCGTCAGCTAAATGAAATGTAATGTGATTAGTAAAATATGCATGAATAAATAAATAAAAAGTTAATTAGGTGAAAAAAGGTAAGATACACTTTTAAAACTTGTTGAGAGAAAACTAGTCTTTGCTGCTGCCTCAAAGAGGAGCAGGGGGAGAGGAGGGAGACAGGAGAGGCTGATTCAGGAGCTCAGACACACTCACAGCTATAAATTAACCAAAAATAAATTAACAAGTTTCAGTGTTTTTTTCATATTGGAAATGGTATTTTATTGGTTATGGCCTTGATTTTATGATTATTGAAATGTATACAGTTCTGTTTAATATAGGTGTTTCCATAGATCTAGTCTCTTTATTTTCCCCTCAAAATGCACCAGATTGATGCATTTAACTCCAAAATAAAAAATAAAATCTTACCGGGGGGGCATGCCCCTGGACCCCCCTAGAGGATTTGAGGTCCACCCCCACTAAAAATCACATGGATAGGTTCCTAAATACATTAATAAATACATTTATTTTTTAAAATAGTAACTCATTTCCATATGTTCATGTGTGGGTAGTAGATTTAAACTATAGGCTATCATTATGGGCCCTGCCTGTACCTGTTCGCTCGGCCATCGCGTGAAGTGTCTGCTAACAAGCGACCAACAGAAAGGTTCATGTTAATGTTGTTGCACGTCACCTCAACCCCCCCCCCCGCTACCACCACCCCCCAAAGTATATTTCAGATCTGTGGGAAACACTTAATGGACCAGCACCAGAGGCGTTCCCATACACACAGGCGTTGGAGCTGTTCTTCATGAAATCCCAGAAGGATGAAGTGCTCTGACAAACAGCGCCATCTTTGCGCAAAATGATTATAGCGGAATGAAAAGTCAATAAATAAACATGTTGTTAAAACATTCTTTTTTCTTTTTTTTTTTCGCGCCCCCCCCCCCCGCCCGCTGCCACCACCCGCCCAAGTATATTTCATATCTGTGGGAAACACTGTACTCTCTCACTTTCCAGAACGCGTACAAAACTCAGCCACATTGCCTGTGACTACCCGATCTGCAGCTCTGTGTACACATATATCACTTAAATTATTCAATACATCCTTTGTACTGAAGTATTCAAGAGTAAATAAAGTAAATAAAGTTTAATATAAATGATTTGCTGTGGCCAATTGTTTTCATTGCATTTACAGACCCGTGTAAATATCTGATACCACCCAATGAATGCATTGACTTGCTTGTAGAACCACGCTACACAAAACAGATAGCAACACCTATACAAACTATTTAAAAAAAAGGGGGCTACTGTATCGACCTATATAAAGTATATACATTTTTTTTTTTTTTTAAAAGACCAAAAATATCTTGCATTTTAGCCATGCCTCATTTCGCTCCATTTGCTTTTTCCAGCGCTGTTTTTGCAGGGGGCTGATTCTGTGAGCTGCAGCGGACCACGCCCCCCTGCAGGAGAGAGGAGTGTGCTTTGAGATCAGCTGCTGGGCGGTCTGTAGAGGGGGAGGAAAAGAGATATCCGTCCTCCGTGTTTTATTCTTATAGAAGTAAGAAGAGAAGTAATTTCAAAGCTTCATTCAGGTGGCATTGGGATCACTTCAAAGTTTCATTCAGGTGGCGTTTGGATCACTTCAAAGTTTCATTCAGGTGGCGTTTGGATCACGTCAAAGCTTCATTCAGGTGGTGTTTGGATCACTTCAAAGCTTCATTCAGGTGGCGTTTGGATCACTTCAAAGCTTCATTCAGGTGGCATTGGGATCACTTCAAAGCTTCATTCAGGTGGCGTTTGGATCACTTCAAAGCTTCATTCAGGTGGCGTTTGGATCACTTCAAAGCTTCATTCAGGTGGCATTGGGATCACTTCAAAGCTTCATTCAGGTGGCATTGGGATCGCTTCAAAGCTTCATTCAGGTGGCGTTGGGATGAAAACTGTACAGCTTTATTTTCTGGGTCATCTTACTGGAAAAGATCCCAGGTTAGGGGGGAGTGACAAAGCAGGGTTCAGAGTCATTGATGAATAACTTACAGAAATATCATGAGCAATAGCCCACCTTCTCCTCATTTCTTTTGGATCCTCTCTCTCTCTCTCTCGCTCTCTTCCTCTCTCTCTCTCTCCATCAAACACACACACACACACACAGCTTAGTCCTCTCTCTCTCTCTCCATCAAACACACACACACACAGCTTAGTCCTCTCTCTCTCTCTCTCTCTCCATCAAACACACACACACACAGCTTAGTCCTCTCTCTCTCCATCAAACACACACACACACACAGCTTAGTCCTCTCTCTGTAACTACAAGTATTTATGTTGACCAAATTGACCAGTTCTATTCATTTAAGAAAGATCGTGTATTAAAAAGACCAACTTATTTAACCCCATGAATACCTTTATTCAAATGAAGGATATCGTTTAAGATTTCATGTATTTATCTTTTTGTTAATTGTTAGGATAAAGATATTTGTTCATATGTTATCATTTGACTCTAAATGTGACCTTGTTTGCGGTTGTTGGATGTGATTAACGGTTGTTGGTGTGACAGGCGGAGCGTCAGTCTCTGCGTCTGCAGCTGGAGCGGATGGAGAGCGAGCTTCACCTTACACAGGAGCAGAGCAGCCAGCTGAGCGGGAGGCTGCACCGAGCGGAGAGGGAGGGGGCTAGTCTGAGCGGACAGGTACGCTGACCTATCATCACACAGCACTGCTAAGCCAGGGTCAGTCCAATGAAAACCTTTAGTATTAATGACAAACACTTGAAACCTTTATATGAACTGTAATCCACAACAGTTTCTCCACACACACACACACACACACACACACACACACACACACACACACACACACACACACACACACACACACACACACACACACACACACACACACACATACACACACACACGTGATTTGAAGCCTGAAAGTGAAATTGATTAATATTAGGTTTTTTTGGTTCTCAGATTGAAAGCCTGAAGCATTCCCATAAACTGGAGGTGGACAGCACCAGGTTCGAGTGTGCCCGCTCTAAAGGGGAGCTGGAGAGGGAGAGAGACACACTGCTGGGGCAGGTTGATGGTATGACACACACACACACACACACACACACACACACACCACACACACACACACACACACACACACACACACACACACACACACACACACACACACACACACACACACACACACACACCAGGCGTAGAAATGGAATAATATCTGACAGAACAGGAACTCTGAGTTAAGGCCCTGACACACCAAGCAGTCACCAGAGGACTCGCCGACGTCGGCTGTTGCGTCGCGGTGTTCTCCTGCGTCTTGGCCATGTGTCGCACGGGAACACACCGCAAAGACTTCAGTGCGTGAGTGGCAATAACTCTCCTTACCAGCAGGCGGCGGTAGTGTGTATTCGTCATTAAAAATAGGCAACAACCGGAAGACAGAGAAGAAGAACAGACTGCGTGATATAAACAACAACAAATAGCGTGTGCAAACTGCAGCCTGGTTATGATCCACTGCTGTCTGCCCGTCTTTGGTGCTCCACAACTACCCGAAGGGGCAAGTCTCCTGTACCGGGTGTACTGGGTTCGCAGAGAATCCCACTTCTTCCTCAGCTCTTTCTCTGAAGCACACAAATAAACGATGTAACCATTGTGGCTAGTTAGCATGTCCAATTCATATCTATATACAGTGCCAAACTGCACAGATAGCAACAGCTAGCAACAAGATAACAACAAAACACAAGGTTGAAATAACAAATTACATTTCACGTTAACGTCACTGTACGCTGGCAAACAATAAAAAGCCAACAGCATCTGCTAAAGAGCTCAATTGATGAAAAAGATAATCTTACCCGAGAAACCAAGTTGCGTTTCAATCTCTCGCCAGAGTCCGGTTTTCACTACTCGGTTCGAGTACCTTTTCTCTGTGATGTCGTACAGAGCTGGCCTCTCCTGGATCAAGGTGATGAGCAGGTCTTCGTTTGCGTCATTCCAGATCGCCATGATGAGATGAAAATGAATATCAGTCTGTGTGTGCCTTCTTAAATAGTTTGTTTACGTCCCTCACTTCCGTTTCGCTTCTCATGCACTGATTCGCTAGCTGAACAGCCAATCAGAGTGATAGTTTGGTCCGACTGCCAGACCCGATGCATGGCCGATTCAACATGTTGAATCGGCCATGCATCGGGTCTGGCAGTCCAAATAAGGCGTGTCACGGTCGACGGTGCGGGACACACCAAATTGAGTTTGGGCGACAGGACACGCTTCGTCTCCCGACTTACGAGAACAGCCGAAATTGGCCTGGTGTGTCAGGGCCTTTACATTACAAAGATATACTTTGACAATACAAGGCAGTGGAGGATGGGGAAAAGAACCCATGAAAACAACAGGAGTAAATAATTGTCTTTGTTCAAACTACAGAGCCTCTGTTATTATTTATAACCTTAGAGCCATGTGTGCATCTCTGCCTCTTTATCGCCCTCCTGCCTAAGAAAGGCCACAACTACTGTATGTGCTGAAGTGTTGGCAGCACACATTTGACTTTGCACTCTGTACTTTGTTTACTTTGATAATTAGAGTAAGAGTTTATTTAACTTAACAAGTCATCTGTCAGACCCTCTCAGATCATATGTAGCATTTGTCTCCGCAGAAGAACACAGGATCCGTAATCATTCTTGCTGTTGGCATCAACCTGTTTCCCCCTCACCCTCAGATTGTCATGGTAACGTGTGTCTCAGGTCTGCAGGCAGATGTGGAGTTGATGAAGACTTTGGCAGAGAGACACAAAGAACTTCTGGTTGAGAAAGAGAGGGAGTTAGTGAGGAGGGTGCAGGCTGCCCGTGAGGAGGAGCTCCGGAAAACTGCCATCCTGCACGAGGAGAAGTGAGAATCCCCTCAAAAAGCTAATTTACCGTTCTTCCTCTCTGCAACTCGTCTTTGTATCTGTATTTACTTGTCGTGCTTTCTGTTGTGAGGCTGGAGGTGGAGAGCCGTCTTGCAGCTCTGGAGCAGCAGAGGGCGCTGCAGGCTGCTGCAGAGCACGGCCAGCAGGAGGAGCGGGAGCAGCGGCTCCGGAGCTGCCAACAGGCCGAGGAGTCTGTCCGCAGAGAGCTGCTCTCCCTCAGGTCAGCAGGACACTCGCCTGTTATATGTTTCCAGCTTATTGCTGACATTCTGGCTGCCTAAAGGTTTAGTTATCTTTGACATGCAATCAATAACGTGCACGTTTATTTCCTGCAACAAATGTAGAAGAAAGGAAACTGGAGTTTGGGAGATGTTGGTTATGTTACCTTGTTGAATAATCTCCCACTTTCCCTTCTATCCTTCATTTCTACAAATGTTTGTGGTCGATTGCTAAAAAAGAATGGCTTGTGAGCATGTGCCTGCAGTAATATACTTCTTTTATTTTATTAGAATGACAGCTCAAGTATTGTGTGAAATAGGTCTATGTTCCTTTTCAAATCATACAAAGAAAAATGGCTTTTGTTTGTGACGGCATGTCCTTTCATCTCTAACTCATGATGACACTCAGTGCCTCGTGTTGTGGGTTACAGAGGCAAGCTCCAGCAGCAGAGCGTCCAGCAGGAGGAGCTGGAGAGGCAGAGAGCAGAGACGGCTGACCTGCAGCAGGTACCAGCCTCCACACCCCCATGTGTGACTCACACAGCCTGGCCAGGGTGTAGGTCTGAAATCAACGTGTTTTATTTATGACCCAACAGCAGAACCAGGAACTAGGTGTTCAGCTTGGCACGCTGTCTCACTCTGAGAGCGAGCTGCTGGAGGCAAACCAGCGCCTGAGAGAAACCCTGGAGCGCCTGAGGGAGGACGTGAGGGGGGCTCGGGCTCAGGCTGAGAGGAGCCAGCAGGAGGCAGAGAGGTGCGGCTGCTGCCTCACACTGTCTTCGTTACTTTAGTGGGGTTTACTGGGGAGCAGCCTCCCATTGGATCTTAGAACAGCAAACTCAATTTTTAAGTAAATAAAAGTCTTATCTTTTTAATTTGGGGTAATTTCAGTGGTATCACTGTTAATGTTTTGTGGTTCTGTGGTACAACTCTTTCTGTTTTACATTTTCTTTGTATAACTCTTATTTGTATGTGTCTTGCATTGTAAAGCACTTTGGGCTGCACCTTGCATGAAAGGTGCTACATAAATAAAGTGTATTCCAGTGTTTACTTTGGATAGAGGGTTACCAACATATAGAAATGCAATGTAGATGATGCGCCTACTAAGCACTGTTGTGTGCTGCCCTCCCTCCAGGCTGGTGGAGGAGCGTCGGGTGGAGTGGGTGGAGGAGAAACACAAACTGCAGGAGCGAGACGCTGAGCTGCAGCACAAATACTCTCAGCTGAAGGAGAAGCTGCAGAGGGCGGCGGCGGCACAGAAGAAGGTACTGCTGCTGTGACACTCTTCTCATTTAACAGGGGGTCAGGGGGGGGAGTCATGGTGCAGGGAGTCAGGGGGGGAGTCAGGGTGCAGGGAGTCAGGGGGGGGAGTCAGGGTTGCAGGGGAGTCAGGGGGGGGAGTTCAGGGTGCAGGGAGTCAGGGGGGGGAGTCAGGGTGCAGGGAGTCAGGGGGGGAGTCAGGGGGGGGGTGCAGGGAGTCAAGGGGGGGAGTCAAGGGGGGGGAGTCAGGGTGCAGGGAGTCAGGGGGGGGAGTCAAGGGGGGGGAGTCAGGGTGCAGGGAGTCAGGGGGGGAGTCAGGGTGCAGGGAGTCAGGGGGGGGGAGGCAGGGGTGCAGGGAGTCAAGGGGGGGGAGTCAGGGTGCAGGGAGTCGGGGGGGAGTCGGGGTGCAGGGAGTCAGGGGGGGGGGAGTCGGGGTGCAGGGAGGTCAAGGGGGGGGAGTCAGGGTGCAGGGAGTCAAGGGGGCGAGTCAGGGTGCAGGGAGTCAGGGGGGGGAGTCCCTTAAACAGGGTCATCTGTTACAATGACTAATTACTTGTTAAACAAAGTAATTGAACCACCCCAATATTCAATTAATGTATCCTGATTACCTCAATATCAAATACGCATATAAAGAAAATAAATATCAATAAGATTGCTTTTACTAATTATATTGTGATAACAGAGAAGACAACAATGTAACATTAGAAAAGAAGAAACCGTTCTGTATCAGAAATGTGAATCTTTCAGTGATTTTTAAATGATAAACTTGGACTACTGAATTTGATGATGAAGCAAATATTCTGGCCACTACTTTACTAATTCATATTTGTGCTGTTAACATTGTTCCGCCTAATATAATGTTTCTGTCTGTTCATAGTTAGGCTGGATTGTTGGTCCGGCTTTTCCTTCCTTTGTTGTGATCACCACTTGTCAGATGAATTGTGCTAATGATGCACGTAAATATACTTTGTTAAGTATTCTATTCACACTTGACACTCAAACCTTATTTAAATAGTCCTAAACTAAAATCACTAGAAGTAGACAGGTTAGTTGACGTTAGTCGGCAAACATTAGCGGTTAGCGGTTGGTCTACTCTACTCCAATGAGACCCCCCCCCGGTTTAAGAGGTTATATTCACTGTGTGTGTGTGTGTGTGTGTGTGTGTGTGTGTGTGTGTGTGTGTGTGTCTGTGTCAGAGGCGAGCGCAGACGGAGCACAGAGACAAGTGGCTGCAGGAGAAGCTGCAGCTGAAGGAGGCCAGGATTCAGGAGCTGGAGCTGGGCGCTGCTGCTGCTGCTGCTGCCAACAAGTACAATGTTTTTATAATTAGAATCAACTTTACTGATATAGCACCTTTCAAAACTTATTTACAAAGTGCTTTCACATAAAACTACAGAGAACCAGTGAATGAAAGCATCAAAACACAAAGTAAAACACACACACACAAAAGAGCTGACGTGTTGCAGCCCTGATCTCCAGAGTCCAGCAGCTCTGACAGTCAGCTTTGTGTTTGGACCTGGGAACGACCAGCAGCGAGGCCTCGATGAGCTCAGGGTGCGGACACCGGGGTGCGGGGCTTTAAAAGCTCAGATAAATAACTTTCCTCTCAAGGCCTCGCCCCAAGTTATTTCCTAATCCTAACATCGATTCTAAAAGCAACAGGTAGCAAGGATCGCTGTGATGTGCTCATATTTCCTGGTCGGAGTTCAAATCCTTGCAGCAGAGCTAAAAACATTTTTTAAATGAATGAGCGGCTGGCAGGTGTGGTAAACAGTTGTGTGTGTGTGTGTGTGATCTCCCCTCTTCCTCTCTGTCAGACGCTCCTCTTCCTCAGAGGAGCAGCCTCCGCTCAGCAGGCGGATGAAGGAGCTGCAGCGTCGACACAATGAGTTTCGACGCCTCCTATTGGGGGGCCATGCTCCCTACAGCGCCGGCCACGCCTTCCTGACCTCCACATCCACCCCCCCCCTCCCCGGGTCTGAGGCCCAGCAGGCCAACATCCCAGTAAGCATTATGAGTCGCAGCCAGTTCATGGACGAAAAAACAGCTCCAAGTAAAAATGTACGAGGCTCAGAGCACCTTTAACACACAGGAAATAGACCAGAATGCAATGCAGCAACAGTATAAGTTGGGTTTATAAGTGTTAGGATTTCGATTCTCTCTTTACTCACACACAAACAAATAAAAAGTCACACCCTGTGGGCGGAGGTGGAGAGCACAACAAATCTCTGTTTCAATCACATATCACAAACAAAGCCACATGTTGAGGTTGACTGTTTAACCCCCCACGCCCTTAGGGATGAATACACTCTGAGATCGACACTCAGCAAACAGGAAACTACGTTGTTCTGACTCTCACAGTCTATGGTTATCCATGATGAGAAAGTCACACAGACACACACACTTATGATGGACCATCTCTCTCCTGATTATGATATTAATGAAAGCCGTTTGTCGGCTCGAGTAGAACTATTCTTGTTCTGTTTTTCACAACTGTGATTATGATTGTTCTACAGTACAGCAATATCCTACATGTTAATTATTACGCCTTTGTCCATCACTTTAAAGACAAAACTGCTCCGCCAAATGAAAAGCAGCTCAAAGAATGTAGTTCCACCCTTTGGGAAACGATGAATCCGCCCTCCATAATACTTTCAATTATATGTCATACTTGTGGCCCAGCCGGGTCCTGAGTTGTTTCTATCAAATGGAGATACAGGTCCTATGATTGACTGAAGTCAGACTGAAGCATTGTGTTGACGAGCTAACAGGAAACAGGGGAGGGGCCGGAGACTACAGGAGAGCTTCAGTGTGAAACAGAATGCAGCACCATGAATGACCCTTGCCTGATAGCAATACTGTGTCCTGCAGGAGGAGCAGCACCAGAGGGAGCTGGCTCTGCTGCGCCGCCGGCTGGAGGACCTGGAGAGCGCCCAGCAGCAGCAGCTGCAGGACCTGGGCTCTCTGAGGGACCCCCCCCAGCCTGACCTCTGACCCCATTGGAACTGCATTAGCAAGGACCCCAGCAGTGTTTTTATATCAATGGAAGCATCATTTATTGGCGTATTTAAACAAAGTAGAGGTGAGAAGAGAGGCCAGCGTTTACATGTGTTTCTATCATTGGAAGGCAGCTTCATGTCAAAGTGAGCCTGGCATCCTCAGGGTTGAATTCTGTGTTTAGATGTTTGTTGTTTACACACATTTGTTCTGAAGCTTTCTGTGAAAAAACAAAGTTTTTATACAACGATTTAAATAACATGGCTCTTCCATCTGAGAATTGCACAATGTATATACACAGAGTTCATGTCATATATTGAAATAAATGATTAGAAGATACCGGTTTTTCTGATCTCAGTGGTTTGACTTATTCAAGATGGCTCAAGGTCCGAGAATCACACAATTGTGTGGCAACAAATCTGTTTACGTAAAGGAACTGCGACCAGACCTCAGAACAGAGAATGGTTCTTATTGACATACGTGTTGGTTACATGTCTGATTTCCGTAAATGCATCTTTTTTATAAACTGTGAACTACTGACAGGTGCATCACTTCAATGTTATAGATGCCAAGGACTTCCCAGAGTTCAGAGTCCAGCAGGGTTGTGTGTCATGTGAGGGGAAGAAGGCTTGCTCAGTTCCAGGAGCAGCTCTTCAGTTCATCAAAAGACTTTTTAACATGGTGTAGTTGCTCCATCATCTCAGAAGGGGCTCCGTTTAGGTTCAGCTTCTCTTTGATCTGTGGAAAAGGCAAAAGACAGCAAAGAGCATATTAAAAACCTACTCCAAATGCCTTCTTAGCCCAGTAGCTACTCTTACTCCAAAATACAGCAACTTCCCTAGTTCAATTCCAACCCTGGAACCTTTTACTGCATGTCAGACCCCTTTCCCTCCCCCCATTTACAGTCTACCACAACAACCGTGTGGGTTATCCAGTCATTTCAGTTAATTGATCCAAGAATGAGTTAAAGTGAGAACTGTAGTGCTCACATAAAGCTCTGGGTTCACTTCTGTGCCACTCTGCACATGAGAGCAGGAAACGACAGTGTGCTCAAAAAAGCAGAAGAAGCTTTGAAATCACATTTCCTCTCGATACTCTGCCTCCTGTGACTTCTGGTTTCACAATTGTGAAATAACTGCTGCTGCCAACATCTACGATACATCCCACAACAAAGGGAAACCGTGAAGAATACAGAAACCAGTTGTGATGCACATGAAGCAGAAAGCACCAGCGTAAATGGGTCATCCCAGAATGCTAAAACATGCACTTGTGGTGGTAAATATACTTGTTCTTAGACAAAATGTAAATGAAAAAGTGGTTTCAAAATATTATTTTTAATATCGAATAGCTCTAAAATACCCCCTCAAATGTCATTTTTCTCTGGCCCTCCATCTTGGTGACCATCTTGCATTTCAAATAGAACTTTTGAAATAGTACTTTTATTTGCTTTTATTATGTTGATATGTCTCTTGTAGGTTTGGAATACAAGCAATTTGGAAAATCATAAACCTATTTTAAATAACAGTAATTCCCACTGGTGGTGTGTCCCTCATGCTAACATGCATGTTAGCAACACTTACTAACACAACTATTAAGCTTGGCAGAGGAAGTGAAAACGTTGTTCACTTCCTCTGCCATAATTAGATCATGATAGTTACAGAGTTGTATTTCCTGCAGTACAATTCATTATCTTTAGTCAAATGTAATGTTTTTAAATCATTTATACACAGTTTAAATTTTGTATTTTTCCAGAATATGAATTGACTTTTTTGTTATTTGCCTAAACTTGTTAAGGTTGCAACAACTAACATTTATTTCTAAAAAGAAAACTCTAAATGAACACAACTGTGTTTAAATTATAGTTAGATCAAGAGATTAATATAATTTTTTTTAATTGATTTTTATAGATTTCAAAGTTCTAGCCCACCATTGAGCGCTGCTGGAAATTAAACGTCTAATAAAAAGTGTACCAATGATGCCTGAGCTGGCGCAATCATTTCTTGTGATGATTGACTACCTGATTTCCTCAAATCCTTTATTTCCTCACATTTCAGTCACACTTAACAAATCCACATGTGACATCCACAACATCATCCGTTTGTTATCATCTAAGAATTCCATTCGCCATTTAATATAACAGATCATATATTTAACTAAATAAAAGGGAAATGAATGTAAGCGAGTGAAGATGAACTCACCTCTGTGAAGTAGCGCTGTATGAACTTGTAGAGTTCTCTGAGGGCTACAGATTCGTTGAACTCGTTTTCATGTTTCTACAATAAAAACAAACGAGTGACTCATCCATTCACTGCTGGTCATTATGGTCAAAGGTTCTGCACTAAAAGGACATTACCTTTGACTCTTCCTGCAGGAATTCCTTGAATTCTGAGTCTGTGATTGGTGGCTGGTCTCTGATCTGCTTGTAGTAAGCCTTTACTTCCTGTTTGAACTTGGGAATGTCTTTGGCATAGAGGAGCTTGTTGGTTGGTGCATGCTGGAACACAATGGTATTAAAGGTATGATTTCATAGACACTCTCTTGTCTTTATATTAGGGTTAATCCAATGGTTCCACCTCCACCTGCTGTCTCACCAGGCAAAGGAGAAGCTGTCAGTTGGTAAATGATGAGCTGTGTATTGTACAGTACCTTTCCTAGCTGGGTCTCACTGAGGGAGAAGGAGTCCATGAAGGCCTGAGCGATGACGGTCAGGCAGCTGTCCAGCTGTGGAGTCTTCTGTATGTCGAAGACAAACTGGGGGTTCTTCAGGATGTTGACCCAGAAGCGCAGAGGCAAACTGCAAAGTAACAAAAAGACATGTCAGAAAGGAAAGCTGCAGTTTAAAGTCTAAAACTAAATATTTTCACCCGGATCAGACAATACCTGTTGGTCTTCCAGATATGCTGGACATCTGGGTCGGTGATCTTCATAGAGTCTGCTTGAGCATCCAGGAAGTCAAAAAAGTATTTGACAGCATGCGGTGCCCTGCAGTGCGGCGTCCCCCAGATACACCTGAACAGGTTCTCCACAAAGGAATGCACAGCCACCTTAGAGAGGAGCAGGTGATGTCATTTCCTGCTGTCCCTTAAAGTTCACATCAGTAAAAAATATGTTTAAATTCCCTCTTCTCTGTGATAATTAAACATTACAACTGTACAGAACGCTGTACTATCAAATATAATGTTTCCGTCATCAATAAAAGAGAAGTACTAAAACATTTGTTTTGTTTTTAAGTTCATTTGTTAACCTAGGTTCAGGAGCATGGCCACGCCTCAACCCCGTCTCTAACCACTGCTAAGTCTATTTATATCCGGCCAAACATCCGGCCACCGTTTGTCTCCATTCTCTCAACCCACCCCTTCATCCACCAATCCCCATATCCCTACATCCCATCATCCTCTCATGCATTCATATCCAACTTGTGCATTCTTTTAATTGGTCATTCCAGGAACCATCTGGGGAGCCAGTAATCAGGCCGAGCAGAAATGTTGCAGTGACAGAACCCCCACTCTGAGTCTCTCTCTGCCCGTACTCTTTCTTTTATCAAATATCACACAGTTGTCAGTTGGTCCTTGCTAGTAAAATAGTTATTATGTATACGTTTGCCACAAACTTGGTTTTGGGTAACCCACAAACAACAGTGTGCGAGTGAAACTGAAACAGCATGCTTCCTCTGCAGCGTGGAGATGGTGTGCGATACGGACTCTGTTTTCAGTAACTTTAGTTCCTCTTGCCTTGGTGGAGAGCAGCTTGGTGAGGTGCACTTCCTTTAGTTTTAACTTCTTCCTCTCTGGGTTCTTCCTCTGGTCCTCATCTACATCAGGATCAATCTGCAGAAAGTTGCCATTTAAAAAAACATTCAGTTAGTAGTTTTCTGAGATGTGCACAAATGAATAGTGCACATCTACACTACAAAGTAGTTTGTGACTTCAAATGATCTACCACAGCACACATAAAACACAAACTGCTACTCACCAAGTGAAAGTATTTCCCAGAGAAGTTCTCGTCATCTAAAGGAGAGAAAATAAACATAAACTGGAATCATGAGCGTAAATAAAAAGCGTCCTCTATCTGACAACTTCTGGTCTATTTTTGCTGTAGCAACAATTACTCATAAGCTTCATTTATTTGGCCTAAGCATTTCTAAAGAAAATATCTGTTTTTTAACACATTGAGGTGAGAAGTTGGGATTTCAAATGCTCAATTCTACTTAGTCTAAAATGTGCTATCCAGTGTCACCTCTAAGAGTGGAGGTCATGAGAGAGGTTTCACTTTCACAGCTAACTCTTGTGAAGGAAAAGAGCATTCGCTTCACAAACAGTTTGAAGTGTCAGCTCTTACCCTTTAGACTTCCCTGCGGGCTCAGAGGAGGATGAGTTTTCCTGGAAAGAACTTTAACTGTCGCTCTATCAGGAACCTTCAGGAGCACAAACACACAGACACACACAGGTTCATAAATAGCAACATGTTAAATGTTCATGCATCATCTTGTAAAAAAGGGAAATAGTCTGTGAAGTGGCTACAACAGCATGAGATGAGAACAAATAATTGCATGATGAAATGGCTAGAAATACGTTTTAAAAGTTCAAATGAAAGCATGAATGTACATCATCCACGCTGCCGTTTTCACATTTCACTGTTTGGTTTTATTGTTTGTGTGTGTTGGTACCAAGAAGCCAGTCAGCCTTAGAAATCCCCTGATACTGTGTGTCGCCCAGGTGCTTTGCACAGAATGCGTGTCCATCCCTTATGGATATGTTTGCGATGAGAAGCAGATGTTTAAGAGACATCTGCTTTTCTGGAACTTAGGCAAGGCAAGGAAAGTGTATTTATATAGCACCTTTCAGCACTTCAAAGTGCTTTGCAAATTAAAATAAAAGACCTTGAAGAATAAATTCAGCAGAAACACATAATACAATGGCATTTAAGAACAGGCATTAAAAAGCAAAGATAATAAAATAAACACAACAGATATAGAATACATGAATACAAACTATACTGCAGTGTGGATATAAACAGCTCACTCAAATGCAGCGGCAAAAATATACGTTTTTAGCCTGGATTTAAAAGTAGTCAGAGTTGCAGCGGACCTGCAGGTTTCTGGGAGTTTGTTCCAGATATTTGGAGCATAATAACTGAACGCTGCTTCTCCATGTTTAGTTCTGACTCTGGGGACCGAAAGCTGACCAGTCCCTGAAGACCTGAGAGATCTGGATGGTTCATAATTTAGCAGGAGGTCAGAAATGTATTTTGGGCCTAAACCATTCAGTGCTTTATAAACCAGCAGCAGTATTTTGAAATCTATTCTTTGACACACAGGAAGCCAGTGTAAAGACTTCAGA